AGTTGGATAGTGTCACTCTTCAGACTTTATTTTTCTCCCCCATTATTACATTGCCTATTCTGTATCTATTGTGTTTTCATATAAACTTTCATGTCACTTCTTGATGTCCATAAATTAACTTGCTTGGATTTTATTTATATTTCATTTAATAAATAAAATCATTGGAAAGCTGGGAAGAAAGACATATTGAGTCTTCCTATCCATGTATATGGACTATCTGCCCATTTATTTAGATCTGTATTTTATCAAGATTTTGCAGTCTTCATATAGATCTTGCACATCTCTTATTGTATTTATACCTAAGTTTTTCATTTTATGGTGCTAATATAAATGGTATTATGTATTTAATTTCATATTCAAATTGTTTATTGTTGGTATATGAGAAGGCAGTTGACTTTTGTTTATTAACCTTGTATCCTGCAGTTTTGCTATAATTTTTCATTACTTCCAGGATTTTTGTTGTTCCTTTTTTTTCAGATTCATTTCATTTTATTATTTTTTTTTTAATTTAAATCCAGGTTAGTTAACATATAGTATAATAATAATTTTAGGAATAGAATTTACTGATTCATTGCATATATAACACCCAGTGCTCAATCCAACAAGTGTCCTCCTTAATGCCCCTTGTCCATTTAGCCCATCTCCCTATCTGTAACCCCTTTAGCAGCCTCAGTTTGTTCTGTTTTTAGCAGTCTTTTATGGTTTGCCTCCTTCTCTGATTTTTTTATTCCATTCCCTAATGTTCATCTGTTGTGTATTTTAAATTCCACATATGAGTGAAATTATGTATTTGTCTTTCTCTGAGTTATTTTGCTTAGCATAATGCACTACTTCCATCCATATTGTTGCTAAAGGCAAAATTTTATTCTTTGTCATCGCCAAGTCAAATTCCATTGTGTATATATATACCACATCTACTTTATCCATTCATCAGTTGATGGAAATTTGGGCCCTTTCCATACTTTGATTCTTGTTGATAGTGCTGCTATAAACGCTGCGGTGCATGTGCCCTTCAAAATAGCAGTCCTATAACCTTTGGATAAATACCTAGTAGTGTAATTGCTAGGTCATAGGGTAGTTCTATTTTTAATTTTTTGAGGAATCTCTATACTGTTTTCCAGGGTAGCTGCACCAGTTTGCATTCCTACCAGCAGTGTGAAATGTTTACTCTTTCTCCACATCCTCACCAACATCTGTTGTTGTCTGAGTTGTTAATGTTAGCCATTCTGACAGGCGTGAGGTGGTATCTCATTGTGGTTTTGATTTCCCTGCTGATGAGTGATGTTGAGCATCTTTTCATGTGTCTGTTAGGCATCTGGATGTCTTCTTTGGAAAAGTGTCTATTTTAGTCTTTTGCCCCTTTTGCCCAAACTTTTGAGTTTGATAAGTTCATTATAGATTTGGGTACTAACACTTTTTGTGATATGCCATTTGTCATATGTCATTTGTCTTCTCCCATTCCATTGGTTGCCTTTTAGTTTTGCTAATTGTTTGCTTTGCTGTGCAGAAGTTTTTATCTTGAAGAGGTCCCAATAGTTCATTTTTTGCTTTTATTGACCTTGCCTTGGAGACATGTCAAGTAAGAAATTGCTGTGGCTGATGTCAAAGATGTTGTTGCCTGTTTTCTCCTCTTGGATTTTGATGGCTTCTTGTCTTCCACTTTGGTCTTTCATCCATTTTGAGTTTATTTTTGTGTATGGTTTAAGAAAGTGGTCCAGATTCATTCTTCTGCATGTCATTATCCAAGTTTTCCAGCACCATTTGCTGAAGACACTTGCCTTTTTTCCATTGAATATTCTTTCCTGCTTTATCAAAATTAGTTGGCTATACATTTGTGGGTCTATTTCTGGGTCCTCTATTCTGTTCCATTGATCTGTGTGTCTGTTTTTGTGCCAGTACCATAGTGTCTTGATGATTACAGCTTTGTAATAGAGCTTGAGGTCCATAAATGTGATACCTCCAGCTTTGTTTTGTTTTGTTTTGTTTTTTCCAGGATTGCTTTGGCTATTCGGGGTCTTTTCTGGTTCCATACAAATTTTAGCATTATTTGTTCTAGCTCTGTGAAGAATGCTGGTATTATTTTGATAGGATTGCATTGAGTGTGTAGATTGCTTTGGGTAATACCAACATTTTAACAATATTCTTCCAATTCATGAGCATGGTATGTTTTTACATTTTTTTGTGTGTCTTCTTTAATTTCTTTCATAAACCTTCTATAGTTTTCAGTGTGTAGATTTTTCACCTCTTTGGTTAAGTTTATTCCTAGGCATTTTATGTTTTTCGGTGCAATTGTAAATGGGATCGCTTCCTTGATTTCTCTTTCTGTCGCTTCACTGTTGGTGTATAGGAATTCAACCGATTTCTGTACATTGATTTTATATCCCGTGACTTTGCTGAATCCATGTGAGTATCTTGTCATCTATGAAGAGTGAAAGTTTCACTTCCTCCTTGCCAATTTTGATGCATTTTATTTCTTTGTATTGTCTAATTCCTGAAGCTGAGACTTCCAACATTATGCTGAATAAGAGTGGTCAGAGTGGACACCCTAGTCGTGTTCCTGACATTGAGAGGAAACCTCTATGTTTTTTTTCGCATTGACAATGATATTAGCAGTAGGTCTTTCGTATATGACCTTTAGGATGTTGAGGTATGATCCTTCTATCCCTACTTTCTTGAGGGTTTTTATCAAGAAAGGATGCTGTATTTTGTCAGATCCTTTCTCTGCATCTATTGAGAGGATCATATGGTTGTTATCCTATCTTTTGTTAAGGTGATGTATCACATTGATTGATTTTCAGATATTGAACCAGCCCTGTGTCCAAAGAATAAATCCCACTTGATCCTGGTGAATAACTATTTTAATGTATTGTTGGATCCAGTTTGCTCATATCTTGTTGAGAATTTTTGCATGTTCAACAGGAAATTGGTGTCTAGTTCTCCTTTTTAGTGACATCTTTGTTATTGGAATCAAGGTAATGCTGGTCGCATAGAATCAGTTTGGAAGTTTTACTTCCATTTTTATTTTTTTGGAACATATTCAAAAGAATAGGTGTTAACTCTTCTTTAAATGTTTTGTAGAATTCCTCTGGAAAGCCATCTGGACGTGAACTCTTGTTTGTTGGGATATTTTTGATTACTAATTCAATTTATTTACTGGTTATGAGTCTGTTCAAAATTTCTATTTCTAGTTTCAGTTTTGGTAGTTTATATGTTTCTAGTAATTTGTCCATTTCTTCCAGATTGCCCAATTTGTTGGCATATAATTGCTCATAATATTCTCTTATTATTGTTTGTGTTTCTGTGGTGTTCATTGTGATGTCTCCTCTTTCATTCATGATTATATTTATTTGAGTTCTTACTTTTTTTCCTTACAGAAAGGGCTTTTTTTCAACCCCAGCTAGTATTCTTATTATCATGGTTGTAAATTGTAGTTCAAACATCTTGCCTATATCTGTGTTGATTAAGACCCTGGCTGTCATTTCTTCCTGTTCTTTTTTGGGGTAAATTCCATCATTTTGTCACTTTGGAGGAAGAAAAAAATGAATAAAATTAAAATTAAAAAATTAAAAACCAACCACAAAATCAAATAAAAGAAGCTAGATCATTGGTGTATTTTGTTCTGCTTGTTGTAATAAGCTTGATAGAATTGAGAAAAATGGAAAGAAAGGAAAAAAAGGTAAGAAAAATTTAAAAATTTAAAAAAATATATGATAAAAGAGAATAAAATGAAATAAAATGAATAGAATAAAAATATAATAAAGTAAAAGATAATTTTAAAAATTAAGAAAAAGAAAATAAAAAATAATTTTTTCTCTTTCTGTATCCAAGATAAAGGAAGAAAAAAAACACAACTTAAACAAAAACAGAAGCAAAATACTAAAAAATGAGCCAGTAAACAGAATGAAACTTGAATGAAGTTACATCCACTTTCCCCTAGAACTGACACTATCAAGCACTCTATAGTCCATGTTCATACCCTAAGCAGATGGAGGGACTTATGTTGGTCTTCTAGGGTATTGTGCTTGGAGGGTGCAGTTGGGTGGAGGTTGGTGTAATGGCTCTGTTCTCCACTAGGTGGCACTGCATATCTTACTGGGGTGGATCAGTGTGGTGCACGTATGAGTGAGCATGCATGTGCATGCTCATGCTCGAGAAAGGTGGAAACGTCTTCACCCAATTCCCTAGTCTCTGGCCCAGGGACTTTATGCTCTCACTGACCCATGATTTACCATCCCTCCTTTGTATCAGGTCTCTGTCCACTCCCTGTCTCTACCCTGTCCATGTCCAAGCTATCCACCTGCAAGGTGGCACCTCCCTCCAGAGTTTTATCTTAGATGGGGCTGTGTTTCAAACCCCACACTTCAGAGACCCCTGCAGCTTGAACCCACACTGACTCTCTGGCAGAGGGTCTCACTGAACAATGGCCAGTGATGCTGGCTTACCCCAGAGAATGTTCATGCAATCACGCAGTGGCAGAGATTCAGAGAATGTGGTGAATCACAACACACAGATTGTGCCAGGTTTCACAGTATCCTGGCATCTATGTCCCAGTACCAGCAAACATGGATGCTCTCAGGGTCTCCTGGGACCTTTACGTGTGGCAAAGCTGTATGGTTTCTACCAAAGGGTTCTCTAAGCAGGGGAAACAGTTCTCCCCATGTGGCACACGGACCTCTCAGACCCCTCTGCCTGTTCCTGGAGATTTGCCCTATTTCCTCACTAGGGTACTGCCAGGCACTGAGCTCCAGAACTTCAGACTCTGACCTCCACTGTTTATAGAATCCTCGTGGTATTGAAACCTCCTTTCTTCCTGTCAGTGGTTTTGGGGAACAGATTTCTTGTTTTCATCCCCTGTGTTTTCACTCTTTCTCTCTCTTTCTCTTCAGCTGCTTTCAGGGGAGTGTTTTTCCTGCATTCTCCTTATGTGCTTCACTCTCCCCCTTTCTCTGTTGTCTCTGCAAAAACAGTTCCCTACACTCCAAGGCTTTTCTCTCCCCTAGTTCAACTCTCCTCTCCGCACTCTGTACCTGCCAAGTTCTGTGGTTCAAGTTTTGCAGATTTTTGTGTTTAATATTCAGATCAGTTTCCAAGGTGTGCAAAAATGGTTTGGTGCTGATTTAGCTGTTTCAGGTATGAGACAAGGTAAGGGTTTCCATGCTTCTTCTCCATCTTCTCTTCTCCCTGGATTTTTGTTGTTCTTGTTGACTGTTTGGGATGTTCTGCATAGACAGTCATTATATCTGTAACAAAGGCAATTTTCATTTTTCCTTCCCAAACTGTATACCTTATACTCCCTTTTCTTATTTTATTAACTAAGATTTCCAGTTTGATGTTTAATAGGAGTGGTGAGAGAGGACATCTTTGCTTTGTTCCTGATCTTTGGAGAAAAGCATTCTATCTCTCACTTTTACTTAACAGTGTTAAGTTTCCTGTTATGTTAGCTTCCTGTTTTTTGTAGATGCTCTTTATCAAATTGAGTTCATTTCTATCACTAGTTTCCTGATGGTTTTTTATTGTGAATGAGTATTGCATTTTTCAAATGCTTTTTCTGCATCTATTAATACAATCACATGCTTACTCTAAAGAAGAACTAACCTATGGATGTGATGAATTACAGTAATTGATTTTTGAAAATTGAATCAGCGTTACATACCTGTAATTAATCCCACTTGTTCATGGGTTTTATACTATGTTGTATTCTATTTGTTAATATTTAATTCAGGATTTTGCATTTTCATGAGAGATATTTCATTTGTTGTTTTCCTTCATCACAATGACTTTTGTGTCATTCAAGTAATGCTGGTCTCAAAGAATGATTTAGGAAATATTCCCTTTGCTTCTATTTTCTGGAAAACATTATATAGGAATGATATGGTTTTTTTTTTTTTTTTTCATTAAATGTTTTGTCAGATTTACCAGGGAATCCCTCTGGACCCGGTGGTTTCTGTTTTAGCATGTAATTCATTTCTGACTCAGTTTTTTTTTTTTTTTAATAGCTACCAATCTATTCAGATTGTCTATATCCTTATGTTTGTATTTTGGTAAATTTCATCTTTGTAGGAACTGGTCCATTTCATCAAGATTATCAAATTTATAGGCATAGAACTATTCATAATATTTCTCTATTTTTTCTTTCAATGTCCACAGGATCAGTAGTTGATTATCTCTCTTCTGATATTAGTTATTTATGTCTTCTCTTTTTTTCTTAATTAAACTGGCTAGACATTTATCTTTATTTTGGATTTTTTCAAAGAGCCATCTTTTTGTTTTATTGATTTTCTCTATTGATTTCCTATTTCAATTTCATGGATTTTTACTCTAACTTTTATTATTTCTTTCTTTCTGCTTCCTTTGGGGTTGCTTTTCTTTTTGTAGTTTCATAAGGTGGAAGTTGAGATGATTCATTTTATTTTAGCTCATCCCTCTTTTTTTAAATATATGCATTCAGTGCTATGTATTTCCTTTAAAGCATTGCTTTTGCTACACCCCACAAATTTTTATAACTTGTATTTTTATTTTCCTTTCACTTGAAATATTTTAAAATGTCTCTTGAGATTTATTTTTTGACTCACCTAAATAACTTGAAGTGTGTTGTTTAATCTCCATGTATTTGGGGATTTTTCAGGTATCTTACTGTTATTGATTTCTAGTTTAATTTCATTTTCTGAGAGCATATTTTATGTGATTTCTGTTCTAAATATGTTCAGGTATGTTTTTTTGCCCTGACTGTGGTCTGTCTTGGTGAATGTTCTATATGGACTTGAGAAGAATGTTTATCCTCCTATTGTTAGATGAAGTAGTCTACAAATGTCTATTAGTTCCAAATGATCAGTGGTCTTATTTAGTTCAATTGTATACTTTCCAACTTTCTGCCTATTGCGTCTGTCTGAAGGAAGTGTGTTGAAGTCTTTAGCGATAATAGTAGATACATTTTCTTGCAGTTTTATCAGTTTTTGCCTCACATATTTGGATACTTTGTTGTTGGATGCATACCTGTTAAGAAATGTTCAGTCTTCCTTGAGAATCACTCCTTTTTATGCTATGCCCCTCTTTATACCTTATAATTTTTCTTGATCTAAAGTCTGCATTGTTTGAAATGAATACAGCTACTCCAGCTTTCTTTTGATTATTGTTAGTATGACATACCTGTTTCTATCCATTAATTTTTAATCTATATGTGTCTTTATATTTAAAGTTGGTTTCTTGTAGACAATATACAATTGAGTCTTGTTTTTTAATACACTCTTGACAGTCTATATCTTGTAATTAACATATTTGTACCACTTATATTTAAAGTTAATATTGATATAGCTGGATTAGTATCTACAATATTTGTTACGGTTTTCTATTCATTGTCTTTCTTATTTGCTTCTTTTTTGTCTCCCACTCTTTTTCTTCCTTCTCTGGGTTTAACTGAGTACTTTGTATGATTTCTCTTCTGTTAGCATATCAATTATATTCTTTTAAAAACTTTTTTTTAGGGGCGCCTGGGTGGCGCAGTCGGTTAAGCGTCCGACTTCAGCCAGGTCACGATCTTGCCGTCCGCGAGTTCGAGCCCCGCGTCAGGCTCTGGGCTGATGGCTCAGAGCCTGGAGCTTGTTTCCGATTCTGTGTCTCCCTCTCTCTGCCCCTCCCCCGTTCATGCTCTGTCTCTCTCTGTCGCAAAAATAAATAAACGTTGAAAAAAAATAAATTTAAAAAAAAAATAAAATAAAAAAATAAAAACTTTTTTTTAGTGGTTGCCCTTATATTTTTAATATACATTCATGTTATTCAGATCCTCTCTCAAATAACACTATGCTACTACACAAGTAGTGCCAGTACCTTATGACAAAGTATTATTCTTAATTACTGTCTCTAATCCTCATTAATATTATTATCATTCATTTCACTTTTTCATAAGCTATAATTACTGGATACATTTTTTATATTATTTCGAACTTTACCTGTTAGGCCAAGAAAGATTAAGTCAAATACAAAGTTTTATTTACCATCATTAATTCCTCCTCTAATGCTCTTTCTTTCTTCATATAGATCTGAGTTTTTGACCTCAACTTTCTTGTGAAGAACTTCTTTTAATATCTTTTGCAAGGCAGGTCTACCGTTGACAGAGTTCCTCCATATTTCTGTATCTGAAAGAGTCTTTATTTCTCCTTCACTTTTAAAAGATAATTTTACTGCGTACAGAATTCAGGCTGGTCTTCTTTACTTTGAATACTTTAAATATTTCACTCCATTCTCTTCTTGTTTGTGTGGTTTCTGAAAGATGAGTATGATGTAATTCTTATCCTTCTCCAACTTTGGCAAGATCGTTTTTGTTTTTGGTTTTGTTTTCCTTCTGACTTCTATCAAGATGTTTTGTTTTTGATTTTGTTTAGTTGAATATGTTATACCTAAGTGTGGATTGTTTTGGTGTATAACCTGCTTGGTGTTTTCTGAGCTTACTGGATCTGTGCTGTCATGTTTATCATTGGTTTGGGGAAATTCTCAATCATTATTATTTCAGATATTTCTGCTATTCCTTTTTTTTTCTTCTTCTGATATTCCCCTTACATGTATGTTACACCTTTTGTTATTATGTTACAGTTCTTGGATATTCTGTCTTTTTCTTTCTTTTTCCTCTTTTCTTTTCAAAATTTCTATTGACATTTCTTCAGACTCACTGATTATTTCCTCAACTGTGTCCAGTTCATAGATGAGCTTATTAAGGGAATTCTTCATTTATGTTATGGTGTTTTTGATTTCTAGAATTTCCTTTTGGTTCTTAAAGCTTCTATCTCTCTGCTTACCTAATTTATCTCCTTTTTTATGTTGTCCATTTATCCGTTACAGTCCATAGCATATTAATCATACTTGTTTAATATTCCCAGTCTGATAATTCCAACATCTCTGCCATATCTGAGCCTGGTTCTGATACTTGGTATGCTGTGTCTCTTCAAACTGTGTTTTTTTTTTTGTTTTGTTTTGTTTTTTTTTTTTTGGTCTTTTGTCTTTAGTATGTCTTACAATTTTTGTTGTAAGCTTTACACGATGTAATGATAAAAAGAACTGAAGTGATTAAGCCTATCCTGTGAGGTTTTGTTTAGCTGCTAGAATTTAGCCTGTGTTTATGTTTGCTGTAACCATATGTGTCAGAGGCTACAGTTATCTCTGATTACCTTGTTTTTATTTCCTCTGTTGTCTTCGGTTTTCCCTAGAGACTTCTTAAATATTATCTAAGAAGCACCATTCTTTTAGTTGCATTCCCCTGTTACTATTCAGGAGGACTATTGATGTTGTGGTAATTTGTGGGGGGAAGGGTAACATTCTATAATCCTATCATTATGTCTTTTAGTGAGTCTCTGCCGCTGGCCAGTGACCTTCACAAGTACTTCTCAGTATGATTTCGGTTTTTCCCCTTAGACAGGAAGGCAGTCCAGGTATGGAGTTGGGTATTTTCATTTTCCTAGTTCAGTTAAGTTCTAGTAAAATCCCATCACATTAGGATCTGGTAAAATAGTTTCTCTTAATGGTAGGCTTCACTAAGAAGAATGAAATGTGTTGTGCATATTTTTTAAAGAGCTACTTTTCCTCTTTTGCCCTCTCAGAAGCACAGAAACATGAGTAAATTTTTCTCACATCTTCACCATGAGAACTTGATAGGGCTCCTGGAAGTAAAATTCACAAAAGTGTGGGAGTCCCCATAGGACCAGGCCCCCTGAGAATTTTTAACTCTCAAACCTGTCCACACTGAATCTCTAGCAATTCATCAATTGCAGATTAGGTTTTCCTAAACTTGTACTGGTTCCCAAGGAATTTTCTGCTCCTGGGCTCCTGCTCTAATAAGTTTTGATTTCCTGTATATGCCTGTCTATTTCTTCAGTTTGGGGACAGTAGTTCAATGACCTCAGTTCTCTGATAGATCTAAGAGGAGTTGATTTTTGGTTTATTACACCTTTTTTCTTGTTGTGTGGGTAGAAGAGATGACTTCCAAGCTTCTTACATGACTGACTGGAATGCAAGGAAATTTTTGAGGCATCAAAGACGTTTGTTGTACAAAGTTTTCATCTCTTGAAAACTGGGTAACATAATCATGTTTTAATTAATGAACTTTATTTTTCTTTTAAAGGGGTAAAAAGTAAGAACTTTTGGAACATTAACTTTTTTCATATTTTTTTTTCTCAAATAGATCCTAAATGTCCAGGAGATGTTGATTTTCATTATAGTGACTGGGACATTAAGACAATTACCAGCTCCTTGAAATTCTACCTCAGGTATGCCTGATATGATTTGGAACTTTGTTTTTCACACTTGATGAAATTTGTCTGGGTGGATATTAGAGCTTATGTGGTCATAGTTTCTGGAGGTTGGATAGGAATGCTAAAGAAAAAAAGAGTGAAAAGGATTTCTGTCAAAACAAAGAATGTGCATTAGAAAACATTTAATCTGGGAATTTACGCAAGTGAAGGATCAAAATAATAGGATTGTTATTGAAAAATTGCTTTTTCTTAGGGAAATGATTATTTTAAAACTCATACCCTTAAAATAATGGAAGTTTGCCCATTGTGCATAGATGTAATGCTGTCACAATGTGCTCACTAGTAATATCAGGATTTATGACAATTCAAGGTTGTTAACATGTTTTGGTGAATAATAACTATTTTGAAACGTTAAATTGCATTTACACAAACAATACATGTGTTTGTATGTTTATATGCCTTATTCCATGCTTTAATCCATTTAATAGAAATAAAAAAACAAGAAAGTACAACCATAAAAATGTTAAAACTGAATGAATTGACAGAAGTAGGAAAACAAAATTTACCTTATCAGCAAAATATGGGGATGTGCGATGGTAATGAATATATCATTTAGTTAATTGGCATAAATTTATATTATGTAAAAGTATTTGGGACATATACATTTAAACTCATTCATTTCTTACTATTCTTTATGTGCAATATTATTTACCATACTTTATTAAATAAATGTCTTTTTTTTCAATTATTGTACTCTTCAGATATTAAGATAGATACTTGAATATCATTAATCCAAAATAAATTGGGTCTCAGATATTGCTGTTAAATGACTTCCTGCTGTAGTATATCTTAGAACTTTATATAAACATGGATGCTTTTTCCAGGAGTATTTCTCCTGCATCTGCAAAAGAAGAAAGGTACTGTTGTCCGAGGGTTTATTCAGTGCTAAGCAGTGTTCTAGTTGCTTACATGGGCAATGTCATTTTTTTACAATAATCTTATAAGGTAGGTAGTACCATACTATTTTATAGATGAGAAAATTGAAAGGCATCCCCTTCCCCATTTAGTACTATCCATGCTCACAGCTCATATTACTTGAACCTAAGTATCTATGACTTGTAGGCCACTTATATTGGAGCATCTTTTTCCTCTATTTCCTACCCCCAGGGGTTATGGCCTCCTTGGAGTTACTTGGGTAATTTTATTTTATTTTATTTTATTTTATTTATTTTTTTTTTTTTAGAGCATGCGTGGAATATTTTTATTTTTTTATTTTTTTTTTTTTATTTTTTTATTTTTTTTTTTATTTATATATG